TCTGGAGCCTTGCAGATATCTTCATTGTATTCAAGGGTACACTAACCTACTCTGAGTGGTTATTGTTTACTGAGTATATCTTGTCTTGCAAACTGGAAAAGAATCCTTTTAAGTCAGGGACCAGGGCTCAGGCATTTCGGAATGAAGGGCCCAATACAGTGACAAAAACTCAGTGTGTGTGTGTGTGTGTGTGTGTGTGTGTGTGTGTGTGTGTGTGTGTAGGAGGAGGAGGAGGAGGGATGTGTCTTGATGATGTTAATAAAGTAATGAAGCCCCAAGCTAGAAATGCAAGTATAGAAGATCAAATGTAATGATAGCATAATTCAAATTTTAGATGTTTCAGGAGTAATGCTGGGGAAAATTGATGGGGTTCCTTATAAAGTTATTGTGTTTGGGTTTTGATGGTTGGAGTGAATTCTATGGGGACAGAATCTTGGGGGCACCTCCATTTAAAGGATTTAAAAAAGCAGTGCCTTCATCTTCGGGCTTTTTGGGCCTAACTTTAATTTTTAGGTACAGCTACTTCCAGACCAATTGGTAAGACCGTTGGCTTCCTACTGCTAGCAATGTCTCAGAAACAAATATTTCCTCTTGCTGAAATCAGCTTTTAAGCAGTAAACCTCTTGTTGAAAGAAAAATACTACTACTACTACTATTACTACTACTACTACTACTACTACTACTACTATTAATAGTTAGTACTTTAAAACACTTACTATTGTGCTTGAATTAATTGAATTATTTCATTTAAGCCTCACAACAATCTTGTGAAAGAAATAATCATTTATTACTATTACTATTTTACGGAAAGATTACAGGTTCAGAGAGGTTGAGTCATTTGCTTAAGGCTACACAACTAGTAAGTTGAATAGCTGGAATTTGAACCCAGGTCTGCCTGATCCCAGAGTCTCTCTTCTTATCACTGTATGTTGCCTCTAAAGGTTAGTTTTCACATTGACAATCCCTGTTTATACTGCAATATGATTGGATTTGTTAAGGTACATCTTCTGCCTTTCCATGTTTCCCCTGATATAGGGGATTTTAGGCTTCAAACACATGCAAGCTAATTGAGGCAGGAACAGTGAATTCCTGCTCATGAAAAAAAAATTTGTTTGTCACATTTCTTGAAGGTAGTGATCATCTTCCATAGCTTTATATTCCCCTCAGTTTAAAGCACAGAATAGCCTTACAGAGTAGATGCTCAATAAATGCTGAATTGACTTGAACTCAATTTTTAAAGCCCCCCCAAAATGTGTTATTACTTCCATTCCAGCCAAACAGGGCTACTCCAAATTTTTACATAATTTTTAAGGGGCAGAGGTTGGTTCAAGAGGGTCCATGAGTATATTTGGGGTGGTTGGAAGGCAACTGCCATACATTTTCTAAGTCTTATATATGATATAGGAAGGGAAATGTAAGCCAACTATTACTTCATTCGGTAATGCACTTAGTTTGTGAAAATATGTAGTTTTTTTCCTCAAAAGCAAGGGAGGCAAGTGGGAGGTCAATAAGCTATACTTTTCCAGTCTCATCAGTGCTTTAGCACAGCTTCTTATTCAGGCAGTGGAGAACTGTATACTCTCGCTGGGAACTGAGACACATGCCAATTGTTGCAAAGAGCTCAGTGGTGTTGCCTGTATACTTAAGTTTGTACTGGCAAGTCTAGCATGTGGATCAGATCAGAGACCAGTAAATGCCATTTTGTTTTGACACTGAATTGAAATGAGGGAGTAGAAGGTGCCCGTTCCGTGAGATTAAAAGGAAAAAATTGCATTGGAAATTTTCAAGTTTGATGTACTATTAATAGAATATATGATTCATCCAGGCTGGGTTTAAAAACATATAGGATTGTTTAAAACTAGTGTTGTCCCAAACAATGCTAGAACTAAGATTGTCCCAAATCTGGCAAAGATTTAGTTGTGTAGTAACAAAAAGGGGCAGAAAATGTACAGGAACCTAATTAATACTAAGAGCAGTTAACTTTTATATACAGAGAGGTATTTTTACATGTAGGTACAAATCCATACTATAGAATAGGTTTGTTTACCAAAAGTCTATTTTTCTCTATGATAGTAATGAAGTTACCAATTATTGAGCCTGATTTATATGCCAGGCTCTGTGATAAATGCTTTGCATGCATTGTCTCATTTAATTCCCAAAACAACCCTATGAAGTAGGTGCTATTATCTACATTTTACTGATATGGAAACTGAGGCTCAGAGTGGCTAAGTAACTTGACAAGGTCAGACAGCTAGTAAGTGGCAGAGCCAGAATTCTGAAGACAATCCCTGGCTCAAGGAAGGCTTTTAATAACTCTGAAGATGAAGATCTGAATAGTTTCTAAAATGAGATATTATAGAGGATTACATTTCAAGAACTCTGATGTGTTTGTGTGTGTGTGTGTCTGTGTGTGTGTGTGAATATTTTAAATTCTTTAACAGAGAAAGTGGGTAATTTTCATTGTGCTTTTAAAATAATGATTGCTTAATTGCCTTTAACACTCACAGCTACTTAGTAGTTAAGTGATGTTTGCTAGGAAGTTCTCTTGGCAGTCGCTTTTTGAGGAAGATGATCAAAAGCACATCAAGAATGCCAGTCAATGCCATCATTATTTACTTAGTATAAATTTACAATAACAGGAAAATATGTTCATAGAAATAAAATATCATCTAAAGGATTTAGAGAATTGAAAATGATTCCCATCTTTGTTGTTTGGCCTTACCTTCCTTTAAAAAACAAACAAACCTGTTTATCACTTTGTCATAGGAAACGATGACTGTGTTGATAAAAAAAACAAAAAAAAAAGGTAAGCAGGTAGGAATAATAAATAACTATCATTTTGAATGAAAAGCCTTTGTAAAAAGTTTTTTCAGTCCTTGAAATATTCTTTTGAAGAAAGGCATATAGCTTAAGGGTTAATTGATAAATCAGACACCAAGGAACTCCATCTATGTCTACCCACTGCCAAAATAACATCAAAATTGATAGTTAAGGTGCTCCAAATTTAAATCAGCTTAGCTGATCTCGCTTTTTCCTTTATGGACCTTTAATTCCCACTCAAACAGTTGCTCCCCAGCTATACTTTGTGCTTTCTTAACTTGCTATATTTCCCCATGCTCATCTCTCCTCCTAGAGTTACTTCTTTCTCTATCATCATATCCAAATTTCCATCCATTCTTTCAGGCTAGGTCTCACATCCTCTATGAAGCTTTCTCTTATCTCTTTAGGGAAACAACATCTCTCTTCTGTTTCTCTATACCCACCTCCATTACCTTAGCAATCCCGTAGCATTTTGCTTTTATATTTTTGGAGGCTCTTGTCACTTTCCACCTTGAAATTTAGTTTTTAATGTATTTGTCTTGTGTCTTCTATTAGTCTCTAGATTTTCTGGAAGCAGAACACATTTTCACTCAGCTTTGAGTGTTCCTCAAATACCAAGCATAGTGCTTTGAATATAAAAGTCACTCAGAAACATCCATTCAGATTTGAGTACCTACCATGCCTCAGACTCTTGGTTTGCAGAGCAAGTTAAAACAGTTCTTGCCCCTAAAGTATTCAGAGACAGACTTGTTACCAAAGAGTTTAAATATGACCTAGCAAGTAATAAGATAGAGCCATGAATAGGGAAGTATGGAAGCCCAGAGTTGGAGTTTGACCAGGGAGAAAGCCTAGTCTGGACGATAAGTGATCTTGGTCAGGAAGTATATAAATTTATAATTTCATGGTGAATTCGTTCTAGAAGATGGCACTATTCAAGTTGTGACCATGAGAGCTGAGTAAGCCAACAAATGTGAGTCTAGGATGTGGGATGGCTTTTCCAACTAGTCAGTAGCGCCAGGAACTGAGTTAGAGAGGACGCCAGTGAGCCAGATGCCAGAATTCTGTGTGAATGAAGGGGAATGTCCAGGAGAGGAGAAAATAGTCACACCAGGGAGGAGTAGAAGATGGTATCTGCAGATGGTGTGAACGTTATAGGCAGAGGAGCTTCTCATAAAGTTGGAGCAATGGTCTGGTAAGGAAAGAGGGAGGCAGAAGAGTGCTGGTTCTCTACTCTGTCTCAAACTCTATACTCTAGAATTTGGACGTTTAGAGATCAAACAACTTCAGTTGGTTACAGTTGCATACTGAGACTCATTGTCTTTGCAGGGAGCCAAGTCTTTGTTGGGGCAGGAAGTAGAAGGTGTTCTGTGAAAACACTGAGAGTGTAGAGGTGCTTATTTATAAGTCGAATAAATGTAGATTAAGCTGATTAAATGGGAGCACTGGAAGGGACCTCAACAATAACCTAGTCCATCTTTATCATTTTATAGTTGAAGATTCTGAGGCCCAAGAAAAAGAAGTATTTTTTTTTCCCCTTGAGCTTCAATAACTAAATTTCTTTTATTTTTTAAACATTTCTTTTGATACATAGGTCAGTGTTTCTCAGAGTATTCTAGAAGCACATGAATGGTATATATATATAAAGGCGTTCCAAGGTAGTCTGCAGGCCATTTCATAGTACAGTGTTTCTAATATGATAAATCTATGAAAGCATACATATCTGATGTTTTGATATTAAGACCTTCCATATAAAATTCTATAAACATATGTCGATAACTGATTGGCATTTTCCACAGTGACATGTTTTTTCTAGATATTTATGGCTGATTCTTTCCCCTAGTCCTTAGCCCTAAAGCAATAGTGTGTCTTTTTTTTTTAGAACAATTTACAAGTTTATTTATAATTGTTATAAAGTTGAAATGCTGAAACTTGCTCACTGAAACATTTTGACTTGCATTAATGCTTTGTGCTTCCACACTAACATTAAAAATTCACACACAAATGAAAACAGAAAAACTTCCAATACCTGATTTCTTTGCCCTATTTTTCTACTTGCAATCATACACTTAGGTACCTTTTGACCCATGAGAAGAAAATATCTAACGTTCAGAACTACTGATAACAGGAAGAAGGGAATTTTTTTTTTTTAAGGATGAAATGTTTCCCATCATAGTGGATTCTTAAACACGTTCTACACGTATGCGGTGTGCTGGCTGGATGTTTTTGGGTATAATTGTTACATGTTTAGCATGGATAGCACACAGGTTTGTGTTTTCAAAAAGGCCAACCAGATAGGTCTTACTTGCCTCCTGGAAAGCACCAATAGCTGCACTCTGGAAGCGCAAATTTGTTTTGAAGTCCTGAGCAATTTCTTGCACCAGACACTGGAAGGGAAGTTTGGAAATCAGAAGTTCAGAGGACTGGTTACTTATTTCATGGAGTGCCATGGTACTAGGCTTGTAACGATGAGGTTTCTTCATCCCTCTAGTAGAGGGCACACTCTTATGAGCGGCTTTTGTAGCCAGTTGCTTCCTTGGTGTTTTACCACCAGTCGATTTGCGGGCAGGCTGCTTGTAGGAGCCATGCTGTGGAGACCTCCTTACTTACCTCCCTTCCCCTTCAGCTGGAGCTCGGTGAGCTATAGGCTTCGCTGGCGTTAGAGAACAACAGAGGCACTGCGGCAGCTGCAAACACCAATAGTGTAGTGTGTCTTTTGACTATATGTTCCTTGAAGCTTCCACCCACACCACTCTGCTAAACACAGCTCTCACTAAGCAGATAGTTTTAGACAAGATTCTAAAACTTGAAAGAGTAACATGAACATATAGATATATATTCTCAAAATTTATTTTTTCTATTTTGTTCTGATTATAAAAGTAATCGTTGTAAAAATATTCAAACAGATAAGTGAAGAAAGTAGAGTGAATTTTGAGCTTCCAATCCAGTCAAAGGCTAGGTATTTAACATAGATCAAAAGGAAGACAAGTCACCTTAGTATAGGTTAGAGTTTAAAGCTGGGAAAAGTCTAATTTTTTGAGCTTGTGCTTCTTTCCCATACCATAGGAAAACATTCATTCAAAGTCTGTCATTACTGCAGATCCAAATTTAGAAAGTTATGGCTGTGATATTGCTACTCTTGAAGGAAGACATCATAAAGAACAGTTTTGCAAAACATTGTGAAATTGAGTGCTATGGAAACAGGACACCACCCGATTCTCCTTAGTAACACATGAGGTAATCATTTGAATTATACCTTTGCGAAGACATGTTAGAATGTATTTTAAGATTGCTATTTGAAATAGTGATTAACATGACCCTTTTGGGGGAGGTTTGATCTGCCTAGAAACCTCCCAACATGCTCTAAAGGAGAATTTATTATACAAATAATACAACTCAAAAGGCAAAGTGCATGCAGAAAGAAGAGAGATTTTGTTCTGTCCTGGTGTGTCTCAGATATTGATTAATGAGACGGCATTTGCGGTGGCAAATCTCACTTCCTCTTCACACCTCCTCTGGCTGGCATATTATGATAGCATTAGAGCTGATGGCACTTGGCTGATCATGCATTGCTGATCACCATTCAAAGCAACTGGAAGAGACAAAAGAGTAGCCCTAATAGTCCCCAGAGTACTAATGTGAGGGCAAAATTTATCATTTGAAAGGTTTTAAAATTTCATCTTATTTCTAAACAATAACAAAATGTATTCTTTTCCTTTTATTCTTATATGTTGTTAGATGGGGTACAGTCCATTCTTTATGAACTGCTTTGCAAAGCTACTCCTCCTATCTCTCCATCGCACTCCTACCTCTATCTTTCAGTCTCCACCCTAAGTACGGCACTGTCTTATTTAGAATTCTTCCCTTTGTTCTACCCTATGCTTCTAGTTTAAATATGATGGGATTATATGAGATGGATCACATTAGTAATATCGGGTGTCAGAAAAAAAGAGAAAAGAACTAAAATCCTTATTTATAAATAATATTTACATTCTGTGGGTTTCTCGTGGTTTTGCTAAACATTCTATTACTTCACGTTTAGAATTCATTTGACTTCATTTAGAAGTCATTTAGAATTCATTGCTTGATATAATAAAGTGATATATAAAAGACATGATTAGACATTTTTCATAATTATGAGTTGCACTGTTTAAAGAGACAGATAAAATATTTATAGGAAAGTTGTGAGTTTACAGATCGTCAGGTTCTAGATCCACATCCTCATTCATTGGAATTTCTGTTAAAGGGTCATAAAAGTACTGCCTTAAGAAGGTTCTGAAAAGATTTCTGTAACTGCTATTAGAAGTCAAGAAGTTCATGAGAAAATGAGAAAATATTTAGTATATAGTTCCATCTTGGACAGTTTACTAATTTTTATGCCATAATTACATTACAGCCTCATTTTAATATTGAATTAAGTCATGATAAGAAGAAAATCTAAGAATAAAACTTTTATTTTTATATGTTGCTAGATGGGCTTCAGTTCAACATATAAGAATAAAAGGATTCAGGAAATACCACTTGCTCTTCTTTTCATATACCCAGACGTTGTTCTAGGCAATGAAGCAGTAAACAAAATAGACAAAAATCTCTGCTCTCATGGAACTTGCATTCTAGTGAAAAAATGCTAATTGAATAGACTCGATAATATAAATGTAAGTAGGTGACTGATATTATTACTGATTTAATAATGAGAAAACTGGAGGCTGCTTCCATGCTAGGATAGTTTATGCACAATCCTCTAAAGACATTTGTTTCGTCACTATTACGTGGATTTGACAGCTAATATAAATGATTTGTAATAAGTTTCTTACAAACCTGCATATCATGTTACATAATTCAAGTGAAGGAGATGTGTGAGAGGTCATTCAGATGCAAATGGTATGTATCGATACCAGTTTTATTTCCTTCCTATAGGTTTTGTCCAGTGACTGACTGCTCATGAGCATATGAGATAGGCTAAAGAACTGAGATTTTTCTTGGTATGTTTAAGATCAAGTTATGCATTTAAAAAACTTTTCCTAAATATCTTATGTCATACACAGTCTTGAAAAAAGAATGGTATATTGTGCAGTAGGAGACAGTGCAATACAAAGAAGATGGAGGACCTTGTCCTGGTGTTTTTCACCAACTGGGTAACCTTGCTCTATTTCTCCTTTGTGGGCCACAATTTCTCCATCTGTAAAATGAGGAGTTTGGCAGATGATCCCTAATAGCACTTCCAACTAATACATGTCATGCTTCTGTGATTTGATGAGTTAGAGTAATGTAGAAAATTTGTAGTCCTTTCCAGACTACAAATACAGTTAAATTTTTCACTTTAAATCATATTTTTCTTGGAATCAATTTAAATATTTTATTTAAAGCTAAAAGACATATACACCGTACAAAAGAGCTATTTTATTTGATTCTCAAAGTTCCAAGTAAAATAAAATAATCTTTAAAAATAATAATCAAGGGTTTATGTGTGAAGATGGAGTTCATTTCTGATCACTATTCCAATCTTACAAATGCTTACAAACTTTAACATGGAAGATTTCTTTTGAATTTAGCAGAAATGAGTCAATGATTCAGTGTGCCCAGAATAATTATTTGCTTCCATGTCAAATAATTTGTGAATATAAATAACAAATAATAATCACATGTTCATGGCACTCTGATCCCATTCACAATACCCATCACTTCCTAAGTAACATCAATATCTCTGGCAATGTGCCAAGCTCCTTATGTACCTCAAGTCACTGTACCTCATACCTCAAGTTGTTATAATACTGAGATTTAGATATTATTGTGCCTGTATTTGCAAATGTGTAAACTGAGATACAAATAACTTAAGTAATTTGATAAAGTTTATATACCCAGTAAATGGCAGATTCTCGACTCAAATCTTGGTCTCTTTAATTGCAAAAGTCAAATGCTTTTATTTATACACTATACTACCTCATTTGATGCCCACAATGACCATGTGAGATAGGGAGGTCATTATAAGCCTTACTTTATAGATGAAAAAAAAACAAAAAAACAAATCTAAGGGTTTACATGATTCGCTTCAGATCGCAAAACCAGTAAGTAGAGCAGAGGTCAGAGCCTGACGCCAAGTATCCAACCATGTGTAACCTTCCTTTAGATTCTTTTATGTTAAGCCAACATTTGTGAGAACAATTAAAATATTGTGCCTACTCATGATATAAACCATGAAAGTATTTTAGATTTTGGAGCGGTGGTTACAAACAAATAGATACAGGCCGTAAACTTAACCTACAGAAAACAGTATGTGTTGTAATCATTCTATCAACCAGGAAGTTATGGGATAACATCTACTTTATGCCCAACATTCTTATAGGAGATATGTTAGTATAGAAAAAAGTATAACATAGCATCTATCCTCAAGAAGTTTATAATTTAGCTAGTGTCTTTCTGCTCAGGCTGCTATAATAAATGATCATAGACTGGGTGGCTTAAATGGCCAAAACTTTTTTCTCACAGTTCTGGAGGCTGGAATTTCCAGGATTAAGGTGCTGGCAGATTTGGTGTCTGGTGAGGGCCCTCTTTCTGGTTTGCAGATGGCTGCCTTCTCACTGTGTGCTTGAATGGCCTTTATTTGGTGTGTGCTCCTGGAAAGAGATCTCCCTCTTCCCCTTCTTATAAGGTCACTAATCTCATCATGAGGTTCCCACTCTCAAGACCTCATCTAAATCTACCTCCCAAAGGCTCTACCTCCAGATATCGTCACAATTGGAAGCCAAGGCTTCAACACATGAATTTCAGGGGTATACAAACATTTAGCTCGTATCATTTTCCCCCTGTTCCCTAATAATGTATGTCCTTCCTGCAATCAAAATATACTCATTCCATTCCAACAGTCCTCCAAATATTAACCTGTTCTCGCATCAACTCTAATATCTAAAGTCTAAAGCCTCATCTAAATACCATCTAAATCTAAATCAGATATGGGTGATACTCAAGGTATGATTCATCCTGGGACAAAATTCCTCTCTACCTGTGAACTTGTGAAATCAGACAAGTTATGTGTTTCCAAAATATAATGGTGGGACAGGCATAAGATAGACATTCTCATTCCCGAAGGGAGAAATTGAAAAGAAAGAAAGGGGTGATGGGTCCCAAGCAAGTCTACACCCTAGTAAGGAAGGTTTGAAAATTATCTTCTTTGGTCCTCCAAGACCACTGAAGTGGAAATGTCACTCCCAAGGCTTAGTGGAACACTGTACACAATGAGGCTCTGCAAGGGCTTTGCACCTGAGGCACTGGACAGGGTCATTCTGGCCTGCCAGTCTGGAGAAGCAGCCCACTTTTTGAAACCCAAGAAGAACTAACCTTCTTCCGTGACCACTGACTATCTCTGGATCACCTTTGGGGTCATTATTTTGTTTTCTTAAAGGAAACAGAGGTCTGGAAGAAGCTAAGGATCTCTTGGATTGTATTTTCTTCTCCATCTCCACAGCTATGACCTTACTCCAAAACTGCATCACCTCCCTCCTAGACTCCCAGAATTTGCTGCCAGTTAGTATGGCTTTCACTCCAAGTCATCTTCCAAGCCACAGCCAAACTATTCTTCCAAAACACCAATCTCAGATTTCCACTCAAGGACCTATGGTGGCTGCCCAGGATGAAGTATAAACTTCTTACCTTGAGCTCTAGACAAACTCTGTCCAATAGATATATAACACAAACTATTTATGTAACCTTAAATTTTCCAGCAGCCATATTTTAAGCAGTAAAAAGAAACAGGTGAAATTGATGTTAATAATATATTGTACATTCTTTTTTTTAATGCTATGTCCTCAAAATCCCATGTGTATTTTACACTTAGAGCGTATCTCAATTTGGACTACGCACACTTAAAATACTGCATGTGGTTGGTGATGGCTATATTGCACAGTCAGATATCAGATGTAAATTTTGCCAGTTATCTTACTAATATCATTTTTCTGGTCCAGAACCCAATTTCAGAACCCACATTACATTTGGTTGTTGGAGATGATCAGGGTATGCCACCCCAAATTATGTTACTTTGGCATTAGGATTATTTTGAGCTGAAGGCAACTGAGAATCAACAAATACAGGAGTTCTCTACTTTCCCTTTATCTGTCTAAAAATGGAGCATAAATTTCTCTTTGTGAAAGTGTCCCCCTCTCTTATATTAGTAAGAAAAGACTCATCACCAGAGATAAAACAAACCCTAAAATAACCCTTACTTTCCAATAGTTCTCCCATATATTTCTTAGGCATTTCTCCATGATTTATTGCTCCTTGAAGCCCCAATCCCATTTCTTTTGTTAAAATAGTATATAATCCCCAGAGTCTAGCCACTTCTTTGAGCTTCACTTCTTTTTTTGTGAACTCCCATGGATGTAAAACATTAATAAAAATTGCATGCTTTTTCTCTTGTTAATCTGTCTTTTGTTAGTTTAATTCACACACCCCTGAAGAGTAATTTAAGAGAGTATAGGAAAACTTTTTCCTCCTTGATATTGTCATGTCTTCTCAGTCTCCAATCTGGAACAGATAAATTAACTTCTGAATTAACTAAGGTAATGTGACTTTGGGCTTAGAAAGAGTGCAGGTTAAGAGGAAAGAGTCCACATTAATAGTCTGTAGAATTTGTTACAGTATATGTGAGTAAAAGTTAACTTTGTTACTAACATCGACTTTTTTGGACATCTGTAGTACATTTTTACAGGACATACATATATGTAAATTAGGGATTGAATTCAACACTAATAAAATCATTTTTTTAACTCGAAATAACCTTCTGAAATAGTTGAGAGAAATGACCAAATTTGTGGTTACGAATATCATTTTCTCTTCCTTTACTGCACTTCTTTTCAACTTTTGCCTCATTTCTCTTGTCTGATGAATCCCCTCTCATCCTTCATTCTTTATCTTGACCATTTGGCTATTTATTCAAATTTTATCTAGCACCTGTTATTTAACCCTAACTTTGTTCTTTATAAATAACTATAACAGCAAGTGAAATACCTTAATTCTCTCATATTTTTAGGTAAATATTTATTAGGAAATTAAATAAGTATATGGATATTTTGGTTTATGCAAACTCATGAAAGATGTTGCTATCATTTGATTATATTTACATTGCAAACGTTTAGAGAAAATACTGTTGAGATTCTTAAATACCTATGTCTATCTTCCTGAATTATACATATCTGTAGGGGTGTTAAAATACCTCAAGCACTAGAATTAATTCAAATGGCAGGTCCTAATTGATGGAGATGATTTAGTAAAATTTCTTTAAACTACCTTTTTTCAGGGGAGGAAGCTCGACTTTACTCTGAACTTTATCCTTGTCTCTTGGAAAAAAAAATTAGTAAGAAAGACTTGAAATCAGTTAACAAAAAATGTCTTAAAGTTTGCATTATTCTAGCAATGAAATAAATGAACAAAGTTTGCAATTGAAAAGACAGTTTACGCCTTTTGTTTCTGTGGGCCACAGAAATCCTATTATAATTCAAGCATAGCTTTAAGGAATTTGCAAACAAGTATTAATTAGATCAGTGACATGCCTTTGTAGTTTCTTTTGTCAGGATATTTAAAACTGAATATTCAAACCTTCATTCATATATCACAGACCTGCCTTACCAGAACATTTATAAAGTAGTATAATTAATTGCTAAATATTATTTCCTAGGTGAAGATCCTAAATGCATTGAAACCTAGATTAGAAAGTCAGTAGTGTCCTGCCAAAGTGCAATTTAAGCAGCCATTCACTTTAAGTATTTGAAGTTATTGTCTGTTATCTACTGCAAATGATGACTGCATTCAAAGGAATTCATTGAAAGATATTCCACAAAAGCAGTTTATTTTAGTTAGAGGAGTGCATTAAAAGAGATTCATAAAACATGATTAGATTGTGTGAAAATAAAGAGTTGAGTGTCCAAAAACGTTCACAATCTAGATGGGAAGTTTTTCTCAGGCCTCTGAAATATATACCTACTTTCTACCTAACTTCTATTAGTCTTTTTGATCCAGAAAAAAATGTCCAGCATTTGTATTTATGGTTTAGTCTTGATCATTTTAACATGCACTTTTACAGGCAGATCTGAGACAATCAGTATGGTTAGAAGCATGATCTCAAATTCACACAGATAAGGCATTTTAGGCAAAACTACAGAATATTTTAGTAAGTGCTATGTGAGAAAT